GGGGTTCTATATGGGGGGTCCCATGGGGGTCCTATGGGGCTGCCCCCCTCTGACACTGCTCTGCAGTGGATGCAGAGATCGTCTCCATCGGCTGCTTCCAGAAATCGGCCCCAAAACGGGGACTGGTGGTGGGCATCACCTTCATTAAGGTAATTAACTCCCTGGTTAATTAACTGGGCACGGCCTTCATCCGGGCACGCGGTGGGTTGGCTTGTTAATTGGGCATTGCCTTCGTCAAGGTAGGGGGTTAATGAAGTGGACGTTGCCTGTGTGGTAATTAATTAAGACAGGGGGTAATTAGTTAATTAGGCATCGTTTTCATCGAGGTGCATGGTTGCTAATTAGTGGGGCGTCGCCTGTGTTAGTGCTTGGGGATCATTCATGGTGCAGCACGCTCATTAAGGTGTGGGTCGTTAAGCGGGTGTTGTCTTCGTGGAGGTGTAACGTGGGGTAATTAACAGGGTAATTAACGGGGTAATTAATTACCGTCAGGACTCCGGGGACAAACCCAGCCCCTTCCTCAACATCTACTGCGACTACGAGCCGGGCTGCGAGTTCGACCTCGACTCAGTGGCGCGTGGGTGACGTCCCCGTGTCCCCCGTTGTCACCGTGATGACATCACCGTGATGACGTCACCGTGATGATGTCACCGTGATGGTGTCACCCTGATGTCACCCCCACAGAGAGCTGCCTCAACCTGGAACTACGCTTCACCCCCCTGCAGCTGTGCCACGCTGAGTGCGTCACCCCAAGTGTCACCCCCCATGTCCCCAGCGTGTCCCTATCGTGTCCCCATTGCCACCCCTGTCCCTCTGTGCCACTTCCATGTCCCCACTGCGTTCCCCTTCCATCCCGCTGTGTCCCCATGCTGTGTCCCCACTTTCCCCCATTGTGTCCCCATGCTGTGTCCCCAATGCATCCGTCCTCCCCCCATCCCAGGGTCCGCGTTGGGGACAGATGTGACACCGTGTTCCTGCTGAGCGGCACCGACCCCGGGATCCATCTGTACAGGGAGGTGAGCAGGGATGGGGAGGCACCGGGGGGGACGGACGGACAGACGGACGCATTGTCCCACTGTCCCCGATGTCCCCACACAGAATGAGGGGCTGCATCAGTTCGAGGAGCAGCCGGTCCATGAACTCTTCCCGGAGCTGCAGGAGCTGCCCAGCAGGTGGGAGGGATGGATGTCCCCATTGTCCCCACGATGTCCCCATAATCCCATGTCCCAGCAACGTCCCCTCAGTGTCCCCATGACGTTCCCATAATGTCCCCACAGCGTCCCCATGGTGTCTTCTCACTGCCCCCTGCAATACCCTGGTGTCCCCATGTTTCCATCATGTCCCCATGATGTCCCCTCAGTGTCCCCGTGGTTGTCCTCTCAATGTCCCCACAATGTCCTGGTGTCCCCACATCTCCATCATGTCCCCTCAGTGTCCCCTCAGCGTCCCCGTTGTGTCCCCTCAGTGTCCCCATGGTGTCCCCACGTCTCCATCGTGTCCCCTCAATGTCCTGATATCCTCACGTCCCCACGTCTCCAAGATGTCTCCCCATGATGTCCCCTCAATGTCCCCATGATGTCCCCATGGTGTTTCCATGATGTCTCCTCAACGATTCCTTAATGTCCCCACGATGTCCCCTCAACGTTCCCATGATGTCCCTATGATGTTCCCATGATGTCCTTTCAATGATTCCTCAATGTCCCCATGATGTCCCCCCATGATGTCCCCCCTGAACGTCCCCATGATGTCCCCATGATGTCCCCATGATGTCCCCTCAACGTCCCCATGATGTCCCCATGATGTTCCCGTGATGTCCCCTCAACAATTCCTTAATGTCCCCAAGATGTCCCCATGATGTCCCCTCAACATCCCCATGATGTCCCTATGATGTTCCCATGATGTTCCCTCAATGATTCCTTAATGTCCCCTCGTTGTCCCCTCAACATCCCCTCAACATCCCTGTGATGTCCCCTCAATATCCCCATGATGTCCCCATGATGTCCCCTCAACGTCCCCATGTTGTCCCCATGGTGTTTCCATGATGTCCCCTCAACAATTCCTTAGTGTCCCCGTGATGTCCCCTCAATATCCCCATGCTGTCCCCATGATGTTCCCTCAACGATTCCTTCATGTCCCCATGATGTCCCCATGATGTCCCCTCAAAGTCCCAATGATGTCCTGATGGTGTTTCCATGATGTCCCCTTAACGATTCCTTAATGTCCCCATGATGTCCCCACGATGTCCCCTCAGCATCCCCATGATGTCCCTATGATGTTCCCATGATGTCCCCTCAACGATTCCTTAATGTCCCCATGATGTCCCCATGGTGTTCCCATGATGTCCTCTCAACAATTTCTTAATCTCCCCATGGTGTCCCCCCACGATGTCCCCTCAACGTCCCCACGACGTCCCCCCTCGATGTCCCCTCCCCGTCCCCACGCCCCGGCAGCGTGCTGTGGTTGGATGTCTGTGCCGTGCCGGCGTCGCGGCGCCGTCTCACCGCCGTGGGCTGTCAGAGCGGCTACGTCCGTGTGGCACACGTGGACCAGGACACGCGTGGTGAGTGGTGGGCGCCGTGTGACCCCATGGCCCCAATAAGTGTCCCCATGGCCACATTGTGACCCCATGGCCCCAGTAAGTGTCCCCATGGCCACATTGTGACCCCATGGTCCCAATAAGCGTCCCCATGGCCCTGATGGGTGACCCCATGGCCACATTGTGTCCCCATGGCCATACCACGTCCCCATGGCCCTGATAGGTGACCCCATGGCCATATCGTGTCCCCATGGTCCCAATAATTGTCGTTACGGTCCTGATGGGTGTCCCTATAGTCCTGATCTGTCTCCTGGGGCCACCACGTGTCCCCATGGCCATACTGTGTCCCCATGGCCCCAGTAAGTGTCCCCATGGCCCTGATGGGTGACCCCATGGCCACATTGTGTCCTCATGGCCATATCGTGTCCCCATGGTCCCAATAATTGTCGTTATGGTCCTGATGGGCGTCCCCATAGTCCTGGTCCATCTCCTGGGGCCACCACGTGTCCCCATGGTCCTGATGGATGTCCCCATGGGCACATTGTGTCCCCATGGCCATATCGTGTCCCCATGTCCCCAGTAAGCGTCCCCATGGTCCTGATGGATGTCCCCATGGCCACATTGTGTCCCCGTGGCCATATCATGTCCCCATGTCCCCAATAAGCATCCCCATGGCCCTGATGGGTGACCCCATGGCCATATTGTGTCCTCATGGCCATATTGTGTCCCCATGGCCCTGATGGGTGACCCCATGGCCATATCATGTCCCCACGACCCTAATAATTGTCCTTATGGTCCTGATGGGCGTCCCTATAGTCCTGATCTGTCTCCTGCGTCCACCACGTGTCCCCATGGCCATACTGTGTCCCCATGGCCCCAGTAAGCGTCCCCATGGCCCTGATGGGTGACCCCATGGCCATATCGTGTCCCCATGGTCCCAATACATGTCCCCTGGCCCTGATGCTTGTCCCCATAGTCCTGGTCCATCTCATGGGGCCACCACGTGTCCCCATGGCCATATTGTGTCCCCATAGTCCCAATAGGGTGCCCATGACCGTATTGTGTCCCCATGGCCATATTGTGTCCCCATAGTCCCAATAGGGTGCCCATGACCATATTGTGTCCCCATGGCCATATTGTGTCCCCATGACCCTGATGGGTGACCCCATGGCCATATTGTGTCCCCATAGTCCCAATAGGGTGCCCATGACCGTATTGTGTCCCCATGGCCATATTGTGTCCCCATGGTCCCAATACATGTCCCCTGGCCCTGATGCTTGTCCCCACAGGCCACCACCCACCCCCATAACCGCTCTGTGTCCCCGTATCCCAGCGGTGCTGCAGAGCTGGAGCATCCAGCAGGACGGCCCCATCTCCACCGTGCTGCTCTTCCCCCTGGAGGAGCCGGACGACGATGGGGACGACGTGGGGGGACAACGTGGGGACGACGTGGGGGGACAACGTGGGGACGACGTGGGGGGACAACGTGGGGACATCGATGTGGGGCCACTAACGCCCGGCCCGGAGCCCAACCCTCACTACAGCCTGCTGGTGGCCAGCACCATCGAGATGTCGGTGGTGTACCGGTGAGTGCGCGTCCCTCTGTCCGTCCCCGTGTCCCCACGTCTGTCCTTGTGTCCATCCCCGTGTCCACACGTACTCACCAAGCAGAGTGTCCCCACATCCACCCCCACGTCCATCCTCGCGTCCCCACATCTGTCCCCACGTCCGTCCCCACGTCCCCATGTCTGTCCCCACATCTGTCCCCACGTCCCCATGTCCGTCCCCACATCTGTCCCCACGTCCCTATGTCTGTCCCCACGTCCCCGTGTCCCCACAACCATCCCTGTGTCCTTCTGTCTGTCCCCATGTCTGACCCCATGTCCACCCCCACGTCCCCACATCCATGCCCACGTCCTCACGTCCTTCTGTCTGTCCCCCACATCCCCGCATTCATCCCCGTCCCCACATCCCCCTGTCCCTCTGTCTGTCCCCGTGTCCCCACGTCTGTCCTTGTGTCCATCCCTGTGTCGCCATGTCCTCACCCCCAGGGGTTGAGCAAGCAGAGTGTCCCCACGTCCCCATGTCCGTCCCCATGTCTGTCCCTACATCCTTATGTCTGTCCCCACGTCCCCGTGTCCCCACATCCATCCCCATGTCTTTCTGTCTGTCCCCATGTCTGACCCCACGTCCATCCCTGTGTCCCCAAATCCATCCCCACGTCCTTCTGTCTGTCCCCACATC